TGAAACTACTTTTTAATGTCCAAGTAATGGGAATTATTGCGTATGATGTTATTGCATGCACCCCACCCACGATGGAATTATACAAGGTGAAGTAATATAAGCGTGAGAAGAAATATTTTGACACTGCGGCTGAGTTCCAAAACATCAGTTGTAAAGCAACTATACAAAGTCACGAAAATGTCCCAAAATGTATCGTGAAAGTTATCGATGCGAATACCTCTTGAGAATCAAATCATAGCACGTCTGAATAATATCATTATACCCGAGCGCACTTGTGCACAAAGGTATATTAATTTTGTTCACATAACGGTTGTTTGTTACATCCAAAACGAATCGAGATAGATATAGACAAATGTATACATAAATGCTCAGAATGAATAGAGAAATCGATTAAGCCATGTCTGTCTGTCCGTCCGTCTGTCCGTCTGTCCGTCCACCCGTGTACACGATAACTCGAGCAAAAATTGAGATATCTCAACAAAATTTGGTATGAAGGTTTCCGTTAATCCAAGGTAGGTTGGTATTGAAAATGGGCGAAATCGGACCGTAACCACGCCCACTTCCCATATAACGGTAATTTCCAGAAATACGAAAACTGCGATAATTTAGTAACTACTAAAGACAATTCACTCAAAACTTATACTTACAATAATTTTCAGACGAACAATAAGAATATTATAAATTTTTGGAAAATGGGCGTAGCCACGCCCACTTATGGTTACATGTGTATATCTTGGTAACCGCTATACCAATTTCTTCCAAACTTGGCACAGTTGTTGGCCTTGGTACACCATATCAAATGGCCGAAAATTTTTAAAATCTGACAATAACCACGCCCACATCGCATATAACGGTAATTTCCAGAAATACGAAAACTGCGATAAATCAGTAAATATTAAAGCTAATTTATGCAAAATTAATGCTTGCAACAATTCTTTACCAAGAAATACGTTTATGAAAAAATTTTGGAAAATGGGCGTGGCACCGCCCACTTATGATCACATATATTCATATCGGTAACCTTTCTACCGATTTGTACCAAACTCGGTATTTTTATTGTGCATGCCACATAAAAGCAAAACGTTGAAAATTATTGAAATCGGACTAAAATTGAGGCAGCTTTTCATATAACGGTAAATTTCAGAAATGCTTGAAACTTCAATATTTCGAAAATTAAGGACGCTAATTTACTCAAAATTGATACACCCCATCTAGCGGTAGGTTTCGGAAAGGTGAAAGACCATATGTTTAAAACTTGCGCCGGGTATTTAATGTTCGGCTCCGCCCGAACTTAGACTTTCTTACTTGTTTTGACTTAACTTGCTAGTGTGAGTAGCATTCTTAGCAGAGGGCATCAGGTTCTTTTTAACCCTTTGCTGGCATTAGTAAGATATATTGCACACATTTTTCGCAACTTTTGACGATTTTTTAATTTTTTTTTTAAGCATGGTCACATGTCGAAAAGCTAATCTCATATTCGAGAGATCTTTTGTCTTTTAAAAATAAAAGCTTTACAAAAGCAAAACAAAAAAGTTTTTATATATTAGCATTTTTATTTTTATAAAATTTAATATCCTTCCTTAGCCCCTATTCACTTTTTTATAAAAAATTTTTTGCTAAAAAAATAAGCAAATCATCAAAGACAGTGTACGATATATCGTAAAAATGCTGGGAAAGCTGCTTATCCTAGATACATGAGATGTAACGGCTTTACAAGCCTGCAGGCTGTGCATCGCGTAAATATTTGTATCCCGTAATATTCATTTATCTATTGCAATAATTTGAAATTTTTTAAAAATTGTATTGCACAACCACATTAATATATGCTTTAGTTTGAAATAGTGTCACTGACGTCAAGGTATTTTTTCATTAAAGAGACTCAGCAAAAAAGTAAATATAAAAAAATCAAAAAATAACAGGGTTCGTATTTGCACACACATGCTCTGCTCACGCACACGCCAGAAACACATTCAACTTGCTCTCACTGCTCATACACACGTGTGTGCATATGTGGAAAACAAACTCTGCTCACAGAAAAGTGTGTGCTGTTTGTTATTAAGCACATGCACATGTGTATGAGCCGATTTTTGTACAAATTTCAGCCCATGCACATGCCCATAATATATTTTTAAAAGAATTTGTTTATTAAACGTTATTTTTTGAAAGAGAATTCAATAAAAAGTGAGATGTTGTTTGTTTTTTATATGACAGAAAACATATTAAAAAATTATTTTAAAATTTGAGTTAGAATTCGAAGTGTATAAGTTTCTCCACGCAAAGCACACACATGTGCATGTGCTTTATATTAATAAAAATAAAGTACACACATGTGCCCGTGCTTTTTACCAAACGGCACACACATGTGATGTGAGCAAGTTTTTAATTTTTTATATGCACAGCACACGTGTGTGAGCGTAAAATGTTAGGATGTGCTGCGCATGTGTGTGCAAATACGAACCCTGAAAAATAATAATTTTTTATTTTAAGTAATGTTTTTATTTTATTTATTTTATTTATTTTTCTATTTAAAGTCACAATGTAACTGAGATTAAAAGCTGGGTTATGCAAGACTTAGACTTGACTTAACTTACCCAGAAACTTAGAAACGATTACTTTCCGCGTCATCTATTGCTTTTTCTCCTTTTTTTATCCTTAGTATTTGTATTAGTGCACGCAAAATTTTAAACGTTTAATTTTATTGTGGTAAAATTTAATAAAAATTGCAATTGAAATAAATGTATTGAAGCGCATCAAATTGTAATTGTTTTTTATTTTTTTTTTTTTTGCCTTTATTTGAAAGTTTGTTTTTCGATTGCCATATGAATTGCATTTATACAGAAAATCATATTTGTGTGGCATATTTAGAGGAATTTTATTAAAAATATGTGAAAAAATTATGTGGCAGCATGATTCTCTGACGGTTCTCTGTGCACTAAGAAATTCAACTTAGAAATCGAAGATTGTACTATAGTTCTCCAAGTTTCTAAATGAAGTTGTTTTTTTAGGTAAACGCGCAGCTCATTTGCCAGATATACAATTTTCGAGTCAAGTCAGGTCTAAGTCTTGCATCACTGAGCTTTAAGCCTCTTTTCATTAAAGTGAATCAGCATAAAAAATAAAAACTAAATATATTTTAACAAAAAAATTCAAAAAATATATGAGAAATTATATTTAAATTACAAAAAAAAAACAATCGCAAAAAAATCGTATGCATAAACATACATACTATACACGTGTGCACATCCAGTGAGAAAATGTAATGTATAGTTATCGAAAAAATAATCAGTAAAACAAACGTTTCACATTTTTTTTTCCTAGGGCAATGTCTTAAGAAAAGTGGGACATTCAATTTTGCATTACCTAATATCGAAAAATTAATGTGATTTAATATGCAATTTTTGGGGCTCATAAGAAATGGAGAACTCATAAGAAATGCATTACACTATTTATCACGCATGTAATGCATTACTACTTTTCCGAATGGGTACATATGTACATACAATAGATTTGCATTTGCTAATTCACGTCAACTACTCCATGCAAATTTAAATTTCAGTAACCAATAAATTTGAACAGATATTACCATTTTCATTAATTTTCATTTTATTGCAACTACATAGTTAAGAATAACAATGTAATTTTAGCTGAAAATACTATTTTTTTACCGAAGAAGCAAAACGGTGAATGTATCAAAAATGCCACATAAAAACTCATTTTCTTTACTTTGTACGATAGTTATATCGTACAAATTTCAATGGGCCGTAGACCATGCCCAGACAATTTAAATTCTTTTTTTTTATTTTATTAGATTTTTATTTAGACAAAATAGTCGTGAAATATTGAGTTTTGATTTTTTGGATGACTAGTTAAGAAAATGATAACGAAGGGTTAAGGTTATCGCTTTCTGCAAGCTAGCGTAAAATGGCTCGAAAATTTCCATCGTTGTGGCACGGTTTATTGCCACTTTTTTCAGTAATTTTTTCTGTTTGAAACAAATATCCATCGCCTCTGTGCCCTTAAAATTCGCAAAAGTTTCGAGTTTACACTTCGCTTGATTTCACCGAATTGTTTGCACAATGAATTTGTTGCTTAAATTTAAGCAATTTGTCTAAACAACTTTCTAGACAAGCATGTGGTTTAAGAGGCCGTAAATTTGTTTGTATTACTTATCCTTGAGAGTCGATCGCTCTTTAACTGAGACAAAGGAAAGGCAAAGGACTTAGGGCCGGTTCTTCAATGTCTGGTTATCACTACCTCCCAGTTAAACACTATTATCGACGATTTCGACTTCACGCATATAACATGTGAGCTATAAAGCAGTCGTTGTATTTAACCGGAGCTTCTAACTCCGATTTGTGTTATCCAGACATTGAACAACCGGCCCAATCGGCATATCGGCAATTATTCAATCGGTGTGGTGGTTGGGTCAATCTTTTAAGGTGGCTCATTAACAAAGTTGCTATGGATTCCCTGTCATTGGCAAATTAATGTTTATTAGGGTTCAGAAGTGCGTATCCTCTTTTACATTTTCTCCTACAAATTCAGCAAGAACTGATTTATTGTGCTTAAAATGTCAAAACTTTTGCCTGAATACACTGAGAATGTCAACAACAAAAATGTGCACATGCATGTATTAAATGTACGCACATGTAATAGTTGTAAACAATCGACTAAATACATACTTACATATGAATACATATACCCTACAAGACATTGCTGAGCACTTTAGGCAAAAATTCTCACACATTTACACTTTTGTTTTTGTAGTACGGCATAAATGAGTAGTTTGACTATTAGTACTGAGGACTTTCTGATGACAACATTGAGGGGAAAGTACTCAATTTTTTCCCATGGCCTGAACGAAAATGAGGACTTTGATAAGCACTTTTGTGATTAGGAGTAATGATAATATGAGTACTCATATGATACTCAGCTGTCTTGTAGGGTATATTTGTACTTATGTAGGTATATTTATGTTGTAGTAAACTTCGTGATTGTACCTTTTTCTGTTACAAATTTTTCACGCTCTCCCATCAGCAAGAACGATATCCAACCGGGGTGTGAATAGCGCCAGCATTTGGTCATTTATTTAATAATTTTGCACAGCTTTGTTATAGTTGTTTCATAAGCTCACATACGTACACACAAGCACACACACACACATGTGTGGAATGCACACTAAAAGGACCTTTTGTTAGCCGAATGTGATAAATCGTTTGAAAAATTTTCGCTCTACATACTATACCGACCAACCGAGCGCCCGATCTACCGACCGTCCGACCGTCCGACCAACTTATCTACGTATCGTTAAATCGAATTTACCGAAAACTACAATACGACACACGATATACAAATACATACGCATGTAGTTATGAATGTGCACACACAAGGACGACAAATGGGAATCCCCGCTGCATGTAGACTCTACAACCAGCTCTCGTATTAGTAAGTAAGTAAGTAACGAAATTGTAATTTTTGGACTATGCCAGCAGAACGAGGTTAACAGTTCCGCTTCCGCCAATATTTGCAAAAATGATTGTAAAACATACACTGACACCACCAAGCCAAGCCACCCATTTACTTACTCGCTCGAAAAGTCAGCTGTTTATTGTTGTTGTATTCATATAAACATATGTATGTGCGTACATATTATTGCGTACGAATATTAACACAATTTATGATGACACAATATTGTTTTATTGTACAGCACAATTTTTGCCACAACTGTTTCTCACAAGCTCGAAATATTTGCACAAATACACTCCATAATCGGCAGCCGTTGGTATAGATTTTCAAATGAACGCGTTTCACTCGCGCGCCACAATTCCGTTCACGTCCGTACGCTGAAACGCCACGATTTGAACTGATTTCTTCATTTCACCTTTCGTAACATTTTGTATAGACGTTGACGATGTCCTGCACGATTTTGACTACTTAGTGTAACGACTGCGATAACGACAGGACGACAATGTAATCGTCTCTACGCGTAGCTTATCGACAATGGTGAAGAGTAATGTGGTGAGTTCTATAGCTCGTTGCACTCATTGAAGCTATCGTGTTTGCACTTAGCAGGAGAGATATGCGGGTTGCCCTATCGAGTAAAAGTTTCACTCAGTTGATGAGCTTTTTGGGACAAAGAAGGAAGGTGGGAGCCAGTATGCCACCACTTCGTTTTTGAGTGCAAGAAAATCGTAGAATAAAAATTTTGCCTCAGAACAGTGGTGGCCAAAGGAAGCTGTTACCGTGTCCTCGTCTATATATAATCTATAGAAAGCTTATAAGCTTAACGCTTTAGCCGTGTCTTCGGTCAGCTCTGATTTAAAAGCTTGGACTTAGAAAGTTGTAAAGCCGATAAAGCAGCACGCTAAACTGTTTGCGAAAGTTGAACGTGTCGTCTGGTGTTGTCCACATGTCAAATAAGTGAAATACGTATTTATTTGTTTGCTTAGCAGTTATATTTAAAACAAATTTAGTAACTTGGCTATCAACAATCAGGTACGTAAGTTTCAGCAAGCATTTAAGTCAACAACACGATTTCCTTCTGCAAAATTAATAGCAGGCAACATTTTGATTAAAAATTATATATTATTATATATATATGTAGTATATCGTCGAAGTTTTGCGAAACCGCCCGTTGGCCAATTGCAAGCCGCCAGCCTATCTTACGGCACTCAAATTTTACGGGAGAGTGCAAAACGGGTTTTCTTTGAAGGCATTGGCTTGATAAGCGATATTTTCTCTAGCTATTATTTTACAAATCTGTTGTTTCAATAACGATTTTATGATATGTATGCATAAACCTCGATGCCTGGAGTTCCCGGTTAAATACCAAATCTCTCAAATTTGTATGCGATTGCAACAAATGAGGTAGCAGTTTGTTTTAAAATAGATTTTATTTTAGATAATATGTACTGCATATTTTGAGATTGCACAAGTTATCGACGGTCAAAATTTAAAAAAATAAGTGAAATGTGGGTCTTTTTTTAATTTACCCGATAAAAAATGCCAACAAGCCTAATCCGACAATAGATTATTATTTACCATTTTAAAGACCTATATATCCTCTTCCCAGATCAAATTCCATCTTTGAAATCGAGTAAAAGCTAGTCATTCAAAAACTCATAAATCTACAGAACCCTATTTTCTGACCTAAATCGACAGGTCGCGACCTCTAAATGACCTTTAAGGTATCTATAAAAGTAAGCAATAGCATTCCTCATAAAAACGAATAAAATTAAGTGACATAAGCGACAACAAAATATGTGGCAGCACCTTCAATCATGCCAGAAGAAATCGACCGTCGTGCAAGAAACATTAATTTTAATCGGCATCCATACAATAAAATTATGTATGTATATAAAGTCCATAAAATACACCAATAAAAATTTGGTGCTTTTTCAAATTCAAAACGTGGCAATACTGCATTTTGTTCGATGCTTCCTCTTTTTCTTGTCGAGTTCGTCTTGCGCTTTCATTCTGGTATTTGTTGACATCACGGCCAGTTGCTCTCAGCTCGATTGGCGCAATCTTGTATTCTATCATTCTTGGACCCAGATGGATTCTAACATTACAAAGTTGTTTTTGTTAAAATTGCAGATAGAGGCTATTGAATATAAGCCCTAAATATTAGATTGTTCCACAAGCTACTTGTAGAAAAACTCGAGCAAAGTTTAAACTGTGAGCGTATATCAAAGAAACTCTAAAACTTACTTGTGGAACGCGTATGTGTAACTCGAAGTTACTTCAAGTAGCTTGTGGAACAAACTTATTATCGCAACTGGTGCGTATCGACCCGACGATATTCCATTCAAGGATTGATATTTTGTTGTATTGATTTCTTAGGCATATCAAACATTATCTGAAACATGTCAACTACAATTAAATTATCTTCTTACTTTTTACAGTACAGTTTAAGGAAGTTACAACGTTATGTAAAAACCTTAAGAAAATCCTAAAGATTTTTGTTTGAATTGAAAATTCAGTACAAATCAGTACAAATTTTGAAAAATCAGGACATTAGCGTACTGATTGAAGAAATTAATAAAATCAGTACAAGAGTTGAAAAATCAGTACTGTACTGATAAAATCAGTACGTCTGGCAACCGTACCCTAGAGGTACCACCTTTCCGATGAAAAAAAAATTATCTACATCGGTCGTCCAAAGTTATGCGGTAACATACCTAAAAAAAA